TGCATGATTAATCACATAGGGCAATGATGGCAAACATTTTTGGCACTGTGCCAAAAAGGGTGCACGCTCGCACACTCATGAGCCACGCAACCTGGAAGAGGAGCTGCAAATGGGACATGCATGCACATGCTCGTACCGAGAAATAAACTTCTGGTTACTGTGTGCATGCATGCTTGACAATCAGCTGGCTGGCATGCATGCCCACATTGGGAAACATTTTTGTTTCCAGCACTGCTGCACTCACAAAGGGCAGCTGATCGTCACATGCACACCAGAAATCCAGAAGAGGAATGGGTGATGCTGCGACATGGCTCCATGCGCCACTTCGGGCACACATGCCATAGGTTTGCTATCACAGACATAGGGCATCTCCAGGATTTTAGAAAAGCTGTTATAGCATCTTAAGAGAATTTGATTTCCAGAAGTTTAAAACAAAACATTTTCTTTCTTCAAGAAGGGCTACATTCTGTGGTCACTGTGTTTGTTCAAGTGGGTGAAGAGACCATAGTTATTTAAACAGGCCCGATGATGAACAGGCCAGTATTTTAATTTCACCAAAAAAGCACCCAAGGAATGAGTCACCATGGCCAAACATACATGTCAAAGTCTGGCTGGGAAACGGCCAGGGTTATTAGTCATCCATGCTGTAGCCCAACCCCAAAATTGACATTTTGCACCCAGAGAATAAGTTTATCCCCCTATCTAGCTCATCTGAACAGAATATTACAGCGGCTCAGCAGTCAAACAGCAGGGACTGATCTGGTTCTAGGTTTAGTTCAACGAAGATCATCTGGGATTCAAGAAACAACATAGAAGAAAAAAAATGCATTTAAGGAAACAAAAGCTCCACTCAAAATAAAACCACTGGGAACCACCGCATAATGAAATGAGTCACACCAGGATGCGATGACTAAGTGGGAGACTAGGGAATTCCACTCTGTGTGCCAGCTTTTTAATGGGATCAATTAGCTTTCAACAGGTGATAGAAGAGTCTTTCTCTTCCTCCTGCTGCCTTTCCTCAGTTCCAAGACAAATGCATTAAAAGGCAGTTGCTGCTTTTAAACAAATACCCTGCAAAGCTTGATAATCACTGACAGGCTGGTTTCTAGGCGCCCCCATAGTGTGTAGCAAGCCAGGGAATCCAAGCCAGAAGTAGTTGCCTTTGTTAACAGAGTGCTTACCAGTTGCAAAATTCCAAAACCGTGTGTCATGCAGAGAGATTTTCCAAAACACTGGATTCCACGCTGTCACTAATTCTTTTTCAGTTATGGCAACTGAGTTTCTACGGCCACTCTCTTATTTTCTCTTGAGTGTTTATTTTCGGGATTATCTCCCCCCCACACCTCCACCCTGATTTCACAAGATTGGTCTGGGATTCCCCTAATTTCCATCTAACATTAGAAATGCTTGTACAAGCAGCCAAAGACATGAAGAGCTACAATACAAAAGGTAGAAATTCTCACAGAACATTCACAAAGCTACATTCATCAACGTTCATGTTATTCTCCTTGCCAAATATGCCACAGCTTTGTACTTCTGTTAGCCTTTCCTCCATACAGGTCAGCTTTTTGTCAGGTAGTCCAGACAAGAAGCACACCCAGAAGTACTAGATTTAACTTTATTGTAAGGTAATATTAACTGGCAAATCTGCAAATATTGCAGGCTTTGAAAAAGTAATTAAACTGGTGGACCAGTGAAATACCGTGGGCACACTTTACTTAGACCTCAGTAACGCATTTGATGAAGTAGACCACAGCCTTTTTGGTAAGATAGAAAAATATGGGATAGACAGCATCACCACCAGATGGATTTGTAATTAGCTGACCAACCATACTCAACATGTAGTCTTCAATGGAACTACATCTACATGAAGGGAAGCATGCAGTGGGGTACCTCAAAAAATTGCCCACTCCCTTTCAAGATCTTCATAAATGGTTTAGATTAGTGGTCCCCAACCTTTTTATCGCCGCGGACCAGTCAGCCTTTGATAATTTTACCGTGGCCCGCTGAGGGCGCGCAGGNATATATATATATATATATATATATATATATTTGTGTGTGTGTGTGTATGTGTGTCTGCAATTATCAGTTGCAAAGGAACAAAGGCAGGAAAGAGAACAACTCTGTGATGTGGGAAGTCAGTCCATGGTTAAACAAATTTGGAGAGAGAGGGAGGGAGGGAGAGAGAACACACACAAACACATACAGACACACAAATTGCAGTGGCTGGGCTCTATTCTTGACTTTCATTCTGTACTTCCTCCCCTCTTTCCTCTCTTTAACAAATGTAGTCTTGACAATCTTAATTTGTGCCATGCCTTACTATGAAAAAAAAAGTCACAGTGTCAGAGTTGGAGCTTCTATTTATCTACTGGAAATTTAATATTGGCTTTCTAAGCATGGATGCCCTTATTCCCACATACCCGTATCTCCATTAATGTTACTGGGGAATTTCTTCAAATTGGGAGCAGTGTTTTCACTTGTACTTGGCTGCAATTGGGGCAGAAGACACTTGCAAGAAATGATAAGCTGCTACCCCTTTGTGCTGGGATTCGCAGCTTTGAAGACCCCAAAAGCATCAGTGGTCACTGTGAGATATTAAGTACCACTCTAAAATAGCTCTTGGCCTGATCCAGCAGGGCCAAAGATCCATGTCATTTCCAAAAGAGAAATGTACATCAAATAAAGATCTAGTTTATTACTTAAGGGTAGTAATATCAACTCTGATTAACTCTTCCTAAATGCCCAATATGGTTTTTGTCATACAAGATCATGTGAATCTCTAACTAAATACTTAATTCATTGAATTATCACTTGAAATACAGCATTTGCACTATATTTCTGGTTTTGTTTTTTCCCCAATGCAAAGCCATAGGTTCAACAGAGAGATCCCTCACCCCTCTTGTATTACAGTACTGGTAAAAACTGAACAATCTGAATATTGTTCAGCTGTTGTGATCATCCAGCTATGTGGTCTCTTAGAGTCAGCACCAACTTGATGACACATAATCAATCAATCCATGATCATGGTGATGACAGCAATTGCTTGTCAAGAACTGCAAGACGGCAGACTTGGCATTCAGTTGAAGTGCTGCCTCAGGGTTTTATATATGCCCACAAAAGAGGAAGGCCTTCTACCCCTTGATGCTGCCCCCCAGTCATCTTGCAGATTTTGACCTCCTTAGGGAGACTGCAGTTGATAGGAACAAGAACTCATGACCCATTTACACAGATATCTCAGTGAAAATTCATTTACAGAGATCCATCATCAAAGCAAATCATCTATTGTTATTAGTCACAATTACATTTCTTCGTTTTCGTTTCCCAGTTTCTACTGACTAACAGTCCGTTCTTCTGACTCATGCATAGTCCATTAAAATTCTTGAAATATTTCTACCTCAAAAGTCTCATTTGGGAGTAAAAGATTCATTTGGGAGGAAATTCTTGCACAGAATCACCGTGTAAGCATACTACTGAATGTATAATTTTAATACTAGTCACCTCAGATTGCCATCTTCTATATGTGTTACTACAATAACCACTTTCCTTTGGTAATGTGCAGTGGTGGGATTCAAATAATTTAACAACCGTTTCTCTGCCCTAATGACCAGCTGGGTAGGCATGGCTCAGTGGTGATGTGACTGGGGGGTGGCCAACTCAACATTATTCAGATCGATTGGTGTTTCACCTTAGCTGTTACAATGTAATAAGGGTTAACCAAAGATTAAAGATTAGGCTAGAAACAACACCAGAATGTTTCCTTCCTGCCTTCCTTACAGGATTAGCCCTGTAAAGTGGAAAAAAACAAAATGATATTTCTTCCAACAATCGGTTCTCTGAACGGCTTAGAAAGTTAACAACTAGTCCCAAATAGGTGCGAACTGGTTGAATCCCACCACTGGTAATGTGACAACAATGTGATGCATTCAGACTTTGGAAGACTGCCATATATCATATGCTGTAAAATGAGAGTCCTAGTAACCCAATGTTTTATTTCAGAATTACTTATCTGAGCTGGGCAACCTGTAGAAGAAGGGGGAAATGATTCCAATATCTTCACAAGTTCCATACAATGAACTTCCCTCAACAGGCATTTCCTGCCTTGGATTAACATAGAGCCGAGGTGGCGCAGTGGTTAAATGCAGCAC